ATTCAGAAGCCTGTTGTTTAATTTCCATGTATTTATATAGAATCTTGAGTTTTTCTTGTTACTAATTTCTAGTTTTAATCCATTGCAGTCTGAAAAGACAGTTGAGATGATTTAGAGTTTTTTAGTTATTGAGACTTGATTTGTGACCTAACGTGGTCAGTCTTGGAGAATGTTCCATGTGCTGATGAGAAGAATGCATATTCTGTAGTTTTTGAATAAAATGTTCTGTAGATATCCGCTAGGTTCTATTGTTCTAAAGCATAGTTTAAATCCTGTGTTTCTCTGTTGATTTGTTGCCTAGATGATCTGATGATGAGAGAGGGGTGTCAGGTCCCCTACTATTATTGTATTGGGGTCTATCTCTTTTGTTAGGTCTAATAGTGTTTGCTTTATATGTCTGGGTGCTCCAGTGTTGGGTGTGTATATATTTATGATTGTTATGTTTTCTTGCTGGACTGATCACTTTATCATTATATAGTGGCCTTCTTTGTCTCTTTTTATGATTTTTGGTTTAAAATCTATTTTACCTGATTTAAGAATAGCTACTCCTGCTCATTTTTGGTTTCCATTTGCATGGTATGTGTTTTTCCATCTCTTCACTATTAGTCTCTGTGCACCTTTACCAGTGAGATGAGCCTCCTGAAGACAGCATATAATTGGGTCTTGCTTTTTTATCTAATCCATCACTCTGTGTCTCTTGAGTGGGGAGTTTTTTCCATTTACATTTAGGGTTTTTATTGAGAGGTATTGTTGTATTCCTGGCACTTTATGGCTTTATGTTAGATGTTTTGAGAGTAACATTTGTTCCTCTCTTTTCCTCGTATTATTGATTTCAATGTTTGTGGGGTTTTTTCTTTTTTTTGAGGTGGTAATATTTAGTTTCTTTTGTCTTTCTCATTTTCATTTGTGTTTTACGTAGTGGGTTTTGTTCTTATTTGTGTATTCATGGTAATGATTATTGTTTTTTGGATTCCATTGCAGGAATCCCTTGAGTATTTCTCCCATGACTGGTCATGTGGTGATGAACTCTTGCAGTTTTTGCTTGCCTGGGAAATACTCTATTTCTTTCTCATTTTTGAAGGATAGCCTTGCCAGATATAATATTCTTGGCTGGCAGGTATTTTTTTTCTTTCAGTATTTTGAATATGTCATCCCATTTTCTTCTTGCTGTAGGGTTTCAATTGAGAAGTCTGCTGTTAGACTGATGGATACTCCCTTATAAGTGACTTGATGCTTTTCTCCTGCTGCTTTTAGGATTCTTTCTTTGACCTTGAGAGTTACTGAATTCCTTTGGGGGTGTCATATTTCTAAGTTTTTTCATATTTCTAGTATCTCTACGTTGATGTTTGCTCGTCTGGTAGATCAGTTGCTTCTTCTGTTACTCTGAAGTAGACTTTAGGAAAAAGACTTCTTCCTCTTTTTCCAGGCTCCTCCAGTGACTCTCTTTGTGGCAGTGAAGTTGAATATGTGATGGGCCACCTGCACAGTAGTTGTGGATGTTACTAAGGCAGTGAGCTATCCTTGCAACAATATTACCTGTGTTCATGGCTATTGTGCGCCACCTCCACAGAAGCTGTGTGAAGCCTCATGGTTGTGGCATGGTGCATGGGGTCCTGCCACCTGTACAGGTGGGGTGGGGCTAGGTAGGTGGCTGACCTGTTCTGCCTCCCTGGGTGCCTCTCCTATCTGAATTCTACATTTTACTTACATACTAATCATCTCTATTAGAGAGTATGCTATATGTCTTATTTATCCCTGTCTCTGGTATCTACAAAAAGTATTAAACAGTATAGATACTCCTCTATAAACCTTCTGAATTGAGTTCATGGAAAAATAGTACATAGTGCTTTTTAAAATATAAAGTAAAAACATTTTATACCATATATTGTTTGGTTTCCTGTAAATAACTATGGGTTATTAACTACAGTTTAGTTTGCTGAATATTTTTGGCACAACACCTAATTCTCTGTGTATAGAATTCAATAACAGGTCATGTTTTACTCCCTTAGTTTTCTCATTTGTAAAATCAGAAAATTTATTTGGAGCCCAATGCTTAACACAATTACCATGAATAATTAATTAAATACATTATTACTAACATTGTACTTTATTATACGTTATTTAAGACTTTGGCACCCTTACTTGCAAGAAATAATATTAAAAGGACTACTTTTTCCCTTATCCAGTTTGCCTCTTTCCATTTTATTTTTTATAAGAGAAGGAATATATGGTTTTGAGAGTAGAAAATAGAAAAATAGACAAAAGATCATACAATATGATCATTCACTTAAAAACAATGGCTTGGTAATAATTTGGTGTAGCCTTCTTTACTATGTATTCATGCATTTATTTTTATAATGTAGTTGCACCTATACAGGATCTATACAGGATAACATGAGCATTTTCCCATATTTTCAGAAACTCATTATTGCAATTCTTAATGACTGCTAACATATGGATCACATTCCTTGTTTTGCTAATCTATATTTAGCTATTCACTCCCAATCTAATGGATATCTAGGTCTTAATACATCTGATTTAAAAGTATTGTCTTTTGTTTGTTTGTTTGTTTGTTTTAATTTGTGTAGCTGCAAAGCCCTGATGAAGGCTTTGAAGGCAAATCTCTTTATGAGAGCTGGAGTGAGAAAAGTTCCTCACCTGAATTCAGTGGCGTGCCCAGGTAAACAAACAAACAAAGCTTTCTATAGAATTCAGTCTGGGATTGTTTTGAAAATAAAAGAGTATGTTATTTCAATCAATAATTTAAAAAATTAACATTCATAATGCTCTAAAATCTCATAAAGGTAAAACAATTCTTAGGTTTACAAATAAAATGTTACTGTGTGTTTTGAAGTTAACTGTAGGCCATCAAAAACAGATGCTCTTTACAAGAGGTAATATACACACATAGGACATTTAAAAAAAGATTATAATGGAGGTAATGGTGGAAAGTAATTCTGTTCATATTTCAGTCCCCTCATCACTCTGTAATTATTTTTTTCTGAACATCATACAGTTAAGAAATGTGGTTATTCTAATAAAAATATAAACATCACTTCAGCACTGCTGTATCTACAAAAGCAAGAGAAGAGGAATAAATATCTCAGTAGTGTGAGATTGTAGATGTCAACATTATGAATAATTTTAAGTATTAAGGGCATAACATTTGTAAATTATCTGAGAAAGAGTAGATTCTTTTTACTTTATCATGTATAATAACTTTAGATGATAAGAAGAATTAAGTAATCTAAAGGAAAATATTTTCCAACTTAAGGAATCCCTAAAAAAAATGACATAAAATATCACTCCTACACAAAATTACCTTACAGACTTAGGTATTTTGTGATCAGAATTAATATTTCTCCTGTTATTTGCTGCATGTCTAAGGTTGTACACTTAAAAATTATATTTGTAATAGTAAGAATAAAGTTTAGTGTTGTTGATTTTTAATCTTTACTTGATGAAGAAATTACCCTGAAATAATTCTCTTATTTTACCCCTAATAGGATTAGAAAATTAGGATCTGGCAATGATTTTGAGGTGTTCTTCCAAAGACTTGGAATTGCTTCAGGTAGAGCACGTTATACAAAAGATTGGGTGAGTCTAATCAGTACTTTCTTCGAGATTATTTATGAATATATATGTCTTTTATTTTAACATTTCCTTGTACATTTTGTGGGGTATGGTGTTGTTTCAATACATGCATATACTGCACAATGATTCAGTTAGGGTAGAGAGCATAGTTTTCTACCTGCTAGTCCACCAAATCTCTTTCCCTCCACCCACCTCCCCTCCCAGCCTCTGGTAACCATTATTCTACTCTCTACTTCTATGAGTCTATGAGAATCACATATTTTTTATTAGATTCCACATGCGAGAGAGATCGTGTGATATTTGTCTTTCTGTGCCTGAATTACATTACTTAACATGATAATTTCCTATTCCATCCATGTTTCTTCAAATGATAGGACATCCTTTTATTTTTATAGCTGAATAGTATTCCATTATGAATATATACCACAGGTTTTTATCCATTCGTCCATTGATGGGCATTTAGGTTGATTCCATCTCTTGGTTATTGTGAATAGCATTGCAATGAATATGGGGGTGCAGATGTCTTTATGATATATTGATTTCATTTCCTTTGGATGTATACCTAGTAGTGGGATAGCTGGGCCATAAGGTAGATCAATTTTTATTTCTCTGAGGACCTTCCATGCTGTTTTCCACAATGGCAATACCGGTTTATATTCCCACTGACAAAAGAGGAGAGTTCCCTTTTCCCCACATCCTCGCCATCATTTGTTATTTTCTGCCTTTTTGATAAGAGCTATTCTAACTCAGGTGAGATGATATCTCGTTACAATTTTAATTTGCATTTCCCTGATGATTAGTAATTTTGTGCATGTTTTCATGTGTCTGTTGGCCATTCGTATGTCTTCTTTTGATAAATGTCTGTTGCCCACTTTAAATTGGGTTGTTTTTGTTATTATTATTCTTTTCTGTTGAGTTGAGTTCCTTATATATTCTGGATATTAGCTTCTTGTCTGATGTGTAGTTTGCAAGCACTCTCTCCCATTCAGTAAGTTTTCTCTTCACTTTGTTGATAGTGTCCCTTGCTGTGCAGAAGCTTTTCAGTTTGATGTAGTCCCATTTGTGTATTTTTGCTTTAATTGCCTGTGCCTTTGTAGCCTCACTTATAAAAGTGCTGACCACTACCATTTTGCATAGTGTTTCTGCTATGTTTTCTTCTAGTAGTTTCACATTTTTTGGGCCTTAAATTTAGGTCATTAATCCATTTTGAGTTGATTTTTGTGCATGGGAAAGATAGGAATCAAGTTTCAATTTTCTGCATGTGGATATCCAGTCTTCCCAGCACCACTTATTGAAAAAGCTGTCTTTTCCCCACTCTATAGTCTTGGCACCTTGGTTCAAAATCAGTTGGCTGTAAGTGTGCAGATTCATTTCTGGTTCTATTCTGTTCCATTAGCATATTTGTCTCTTTTTATTCCAGAACCATTCTGTTTTGGTTACTATAGTTTTATAAAATATTTTAATGTCAGGAAGTATTATGCCTCCAACTTTGTTGTTTTTGTTCAAAATTGCTTTAGCAATATGGGGTCTTTTGTAGTTCCATACAAATTTTAAGATCGTTTTTTCTATTTCTGTGAAGAATGTCATTGGTATTTTGATGGGAATTGTATTGAATGTGTAGATACCTTGGGGTAATATGGACATATAGACGATGTTAATTCTTCCAACCCACGAACATGGGATATCTTTCCATTTATTTGTATCCTCTTCAATATTTTTTGCCAGTGTTTTATACATCTTTCACCTCCTTGGTTCAATTTACTCCAAGGTATTTACTTTTTTTGGTAGCTATTGAGAATAGGATTACTTTTTGATTTCTTCTTTGGCTATTTCATTATTTGGATGTAAGAAACCTATTGATATTTGTGCGTTGACTTTGAATCCTGCCATTATATTAAATTCATTTATTAATTCTAATAATTTTTTGGTGAAGTCTTCTGGATTTTCTATGTATATGATCTTGGTGTCTGCAAATAGGGAGTTTATCTTCCTACTTTTCAATTTGGATGACCTTTATTGCTTTCTATCTCCTTATTGTGCTGGCTAGAACGTCGAGTACTATGTTGTGTAACAGTGAGGGAAATGAGCATCCTTTTCTTGTTCCACATCTTAGAGGAAAAGCCTCCAATTTTTGTCCATTCTGTATAATAATAGCTGTGGGTTTTTCATATGTGGACTTTATTGTGTTGAGGTATATTCTTCTATACCTAGTTTGTTGAGTGTTTGTATTAGGAAGAGATACTGGATTTTATTAAATACTTTTTATGCATCTATTGAAAAGATCATTTTTTTCCTTCATTCTGTGGATGTGCTGTATCACATTTATTGATTTGCATGTGTTGAATCATCTTTAAATACCTGGGGTCTGTCCCACTTGATTATGGTGATAGATTTTTTTAATGTGCTGTTGGATTCTGTTTGCTAGTATTTTGTTGAGGATCTTCTCAGCTGTGTTCATTAGCGATATTGCTCGCAATTTTTTTTTTGTATGATTTCTGGTTTTCATATGAGATTAATGTTGGCCTTGTAGAATGAATTTGGAGGTATTCCCTCCTTTTCAATTTTTTGGAAGAGTTTGAGAAGAATTGGAATTAGTTGTTTAAATATTTGGTAGAATTCAGCAGTAAAGATATCTGATCCTAGGGTTTTCTTTGTTGGAAGACTTTTCATTATTGATTCAGTATAATTACTGGTTATTGGTGTGTTTAAGTTTTCTCCTTATTCCTGATTCAACCTTGGTAAATTGTTTGTGTCCAGGAATTTATCCATTACTTCTAGGTTTTCCAGTTTGTTTGCATATAGTTATT